CTGAAACTACTTAAAATCAGAATCACTAGGGGTAGGACTTAGACATCAGCATTTTTTAAAGTTCCCCGAATGATTCCCTTATGCTGCCAAGTGAAGAACTATTGTATAAAGATTTGTTGTGACATTGCTGAGGCTTCCCTTTCCTCCTTTATTCTTATTATTAATTTTAAAGGAAATTATATATGTGAATGGCCTACCCTGTACCTAGCAGAAGCCTTGCTTGTGATTGGAGTTTAGTAAGTGTGGATGTTATATTTTGATTCCCATTTAATTGCTCTGAAGATCATTGCATACCGAAACGTGAAGAAATAAGCAGATGTTCTGTTGCTCAGATCTAGGCTTGAAATAATTACTTTGTCTGATTCCTTAAGTTGTGCATTGCTCTCAAGTTTACTCTCAGAGATTTAAAGCACATTGCAATAAAGGCATACTAGAGTAAGAATGCCCAAGTAATAGTGGTCAAGGACTAATAGAAAGAAAAATAATTATGTCAGGAAACCTAGATTATAAGGTAATTGCTAAATTAGAATTTTAATTTTTTACTGAGACATGTATGTATATATGTATGTCTGTACTGCCATTTTTATCTCATGAAGTCTAGGTCCCAGTGTTTCTAGACATAGCAATGTAAAATGTTCCTTTACTTACAAGCTGATCATTTAGAAATTGTATTCCAAGCTTCTCAAAGGACAGATTGGATTTCACAGTGGGTATAATTTGATGATTGAGTTTGTATTGCTGCGCCCTATTGATTAAGTTTGTTCTGGTTGGTATCTGCCGGACTCATACTCTTCATTAAGCCACAAAGTTAGGAGAGTTTACATCCAACAGATCTTAGAAACTTAGTTATTTTAGATATATTTCAGAAATTGACAGTTACCTGCAGCAAAACAATTAGAAGTCAGAAAAGAAGGGAATTTTAAAACCAAAGATATTTTAATTAAACTAAGGAATTTTTGAAGACCACATGGTTAAATACATTGTTGTAGATAAATTTTCCTTTAAGATTTTTTTGTTCTGTTATATACCTAGTGTATTTGTGTGTCATCTACCAAGTTTCATGGAAAGGAAGCCTGAATATATTATTATTTTTAAAAAATGTTCTGTTTCTAAGTGAGAAAAATTAAATTCAAAGTTAGCAATTATTTAGTATTTTCCTAGGATGGAAAACACTTTAGCAAAATTCAGTAGGAAATTGTTACCAGAAAGGGGTCCTGATCCAGATCCCATGAGAGGGCTCTTGGATCTCACGCAAGAAAGAATTCGGGTTGAGTCCACAGAGTGAAGTGAAATGAAAGCAAGCTTATTAAGACAGTAAAGGAATAAAGAATGGCTACTCCTTAGGCAGAGCAGCCCCAAAGGCTGCTTGCTTGCTTGCTTTCCCT